CTTCGAAACGCGATGGTGTGAGAAATATATGTTATCCACATAAAATAATGGTGTCATGTTCGAAAACAAGCCTTTCCGGAGACGTTGACTATTTTTTTGTTTTTTTCCCCTATTTACTCTTATTTTCTGATACGGATAGGACGTGAGACCCGTTGGATATATTGATCCAAGAACCAAACATATAAAATAGGCAGCGGAATCCCAGATCGGAGATCTAGTTTGATCGTACCTAGAGTTTAAAAACCTCGACCCGTTAGCTATATATTCAGCTAAGAACCTCGGTATGGTGAACGCCACAAGATCTTGCCCAAGTATCTTGATAAGTTCTTAAAAACAATTGAAACTCTACAAAAGAGAATTCAATCTCACAATAGTGATTTCTTAATATTCAGCAAAATTCATATATTATCTTAAAACATAAAATGACCTTTTAAAGGCTACAAAAGGGCTGATGAGTTAATCCCGTTTTTGGGACTCAAGACAAAATAAAGACACAACTTTGACCTCATAAATAAGCTAACATGAAGTTTGAATGACCCTTTGACTTCTAAGACAACTTAAGAGACATTTTGGTCTCACAAATGCTAAAAATAGATAAAATAATAGACTCTCCAATTGGGCTTCATGACATGGATGAAATTTAGTCTTCAATCCATTGATCAATCTTTATGCAAACAATCTGGCCCATCAACTTGAAGAATATTCATCAATTTGCCTTCCATCGGGATTTGGTTCGACTCCTTTTGAATTCAGCAATAAGAACACTCAAGGCTTCCTTCATTTTCTTAGCCCTTACCCTCGTGATCGGTCCCCCGTTTATTTCCAACGGATCTTCTTTACTTTGTACGGAGAGCTTCGCATGGTCCCCATCATTCCCTTCCTCTTCAAAAGGATTCGACCTCGAATCTGAATAGCAATGAAAAGGAGAAAGATCAGAAACATTAAATGAGGCGCTCACATTATACTCACCTGGAAGATCGAGTTTGTAGGCATTATCGTTGATCCGTGCAATTACTTGAAATGGCCCGTCCCCCTTGCTTGCAACTTTGACTTGCGCTTTGCTGGGAATCTCTCTTTTCTCAAATACAGCCAAACCCAATCTCCGGGTTCAAAGATAACTCGCTTTCGCCCTTTATTGGCTTGTTTTGCATATTGCTCGGTTTGTTTCTCAATGTTCAGCTTCACCTTCTCATGTAACTTCTTGATCATTTCAGCCTTGGCTTTTCCATCCAAGTTCGCTTGTTCATCAACAAGAATAGGCACAAGATCAAGAGGACTTAAAGGATTAAAGCTGTAAACAACTTCAAAAGGAGTAAAATTAGTAGCAGATTGAACACTCCTATTATATGCAAATTCAGCAAATGGCAAACAATCTTCCCAACTTTTTAAGTTCTTTTTAATCAAAGCTCTAAGCAATTGAGATACATTTCTATTTACTACTTTAGTTTGCCCATCGGTTTGGGGGTGACAATTTGTAGAAAACAGAAGTTTAGTTCCCAATTTACTCCACAACACACGCCAGAAATGACTCAAAAATTTTGCATCTCGATCACTCACAATGGTTTTTGGAACCCCATGCAAACGTACAACTTTTTGAAAGAACAAATCAGCAATATGCGTAGCATCATCACTTTTATGACATGGAATGAAATGAGCCATTTTAGAAAATCTGTCAACAACCACAAAATTACAATCTCGACCTCTACTAGTTCTAGGTAAACCCAAAACAAAGTCCATAGAAATATCCACCCACGGTTCATTAGGAATAGGTAAAGGCTGATACAAACCATGAGGTTTTGATTTTGATTTAGCACATTTGCAAGTTATGCACCTCTCACATATTCTCTCCACATCAACACGCATACCAGGCCAAAAGAAATGATCACGCAATACTTCCAATGTTTTATGTACTCCGAAATGTCCCATTAATCCTCCCCCATGTGCCTCCGTAACCAGCAATTCTCGAATAGAACATTTAGGAATACAAAGTTTATTCTCACGAAACAAGTAACCATCATGCTTGTAAAACTTACCAAATGCAGCGTGTTCACAAGCTAAGTAAATCGACCCAAAATCATAATCAGTGGCATATCTATCCTTTATCGACTCAAATCCAAGAAGCTTAGAACTCAAAGTAGTGATTAAAGCATACCTTCGAGATAAGGCATCAGCTACAATGTTTTCCTTGCCTCTTTTGTATTTGATCACATAAGGAAATGACTCAATAAATTCAACCCATTTGATATGCCTCTTGCTCAACTTACCTTGGCCCTTCAAGTATTTGAGAGACTCGTGATCCGTATGAATCACATACTCTTTCGACCACAAGTAATGCTGCCAAGTTTCCAATGCTCTCACCAAGGAATACAACTCCTTATCATACGTCGGATAGTTCAATTGAGCTCCTTTCAACTTCTCAGTGAAATATGCAATGGGTTTTCCTTCCTGCAACAAAACAGCACCTACACCTACTCCAGAAGCATCACATTCAAGCTCAAAAGATTTATCAAAGTTAGGCAAAGCAAGAATAGGTGCAGAAGTTAATTTTTCTTTTAAGAGATCAAAAGCAAGTTGTTATTTTTCTTCCCATCGAAAACCAACTTCCTTTTTCACAATTTCGTTTAATGGTGCAGCAATGGTGCTAAAATCTTTCACAAACCTCCTACAGAATCTAGCAAGACCATGAAAACTTCTTACTTCAGCAATGCTCTTAGGAACAGGCCAATCCAAAATAGCTTTGACCTTATCCTTTTCCATTTCTATTCCATCACCACTTACAACAAATCCAAGAAAAACAACTTTATGCATGCAAAAAGAACACTTTTTAAGATTAGCATACAGTGATTCAGTTCTTAAAGTGTCCAAAACAGCACGAACATGATCAAGATGCTCTTCTTTGCTTTTGCTATAGATGAAGATGTCATCAAAATAAACCACAACAAATTACCCTATAAAGTCACCCAAAACATGGTTCATTAATCTCATGAAAGTGCTTGGTGGATTAGTTAAACCAAAAGGCATGACTAACCACTCATATAAACCATATTTTGTCTTAAAAGCAGCTTTCCATTCATCTCCTTCACGAATTCTAATTTGATGATAACCACTTTTCAAATCAATTTTAGTGAAGATGACAGCACCATACAATTCATCAAGCATATCATCTAACCTAGGAAAAGGATAGCGATACTTCACCGTGATTTTATTCATGGCTCGACAATCTGTACACATTCTCCAAGTTCCATCTTTTTTCGGTACCACGATTACCGGTGCAGCACATGGACTCATGCTTTCTCGTATCTTCCCTTTCGCCATCAACTCCTCAACTTGCCTCTGAATTTCCTTTGTCTCTTCTGGATTTGCCCTATATGCTGGACGGTTTGGAAGTGTAGCTCCCGGAATGAACTCAATCTGATGTTCGATTCCCCTTATAGGCGGTAATCCACTTGGCTCTTCTTCGGGTAACACGTCTTCATATTCCTGCAAAAGAGACACAAAAGCACTAGGAAAAGATGGGGTTAGCTCGTTAGTGTTCAAAAACGACTCCTTGATCACCATCACTAACACAATTTTCCTTTCAAATATTGCCCTCTTCATCTCACTGGATTTTGCATAAAAATTCAGCTTTTTTTTCCCTCATCCACACTTAGTTCTTTCCCCTCAATCTCACACATTTCTTCTTGGTTTTTCCCTCCAATCTTTTTTTCTCTCAATTTTTTCCCCCCATTCTTTTCTTTTTTTTTCTCACTTTCTCGCAATTTTCTTGGTTGAGACATTTTGAACTGATCTTCTTGCACTTGTTGTAGATTCAAAGAAACAAGTTGAATGCTCCGGTTTTCATGCTTCAAACTGTAACGGTTAAGAAAACCATCATAAGTCACTCTTCTGTCAAATTGCCATGGTCTACCCAAAAGGATATGGCTAGCATGCATTGGCACTACATCACATAGGACCTCATCCTTGTAGTTGCCGATTGAAAATGACACCAACACTTGTTTCGTCACTCGAATTTCTCCACAATCATTTAGGCACTGCAGCTTGTAAGGATTGGAATGCTTTGTGGTTGGTAAATTCAGCTTCTCCACCATTTCACAACTAGCGACATTAGCACAACTCCCTCCATCAACAATCAGCATGCAAACCTTTCCAAGAACTAAACATCTCGTATGAAAGATGTTCTCCCTTTGCTGTTCAGCATCCTCCACCTTGATTTGCATGTTAAGAGCTCTTCTCACCACCAAAAGCTCTCCATGTTCAGGTGTGGTCTCCTCGGCTTGCTCGTCATCGCTGGATTCATGCTCACTTTCAGATTCTACTACACCATTTTCCCTCAAGATCATGACTCTCTTGTTAATGCATTCGGAAGCAATATGGCCAAAGCCTTGACAACGGAAACATTTGATATCACGGCTTCGAGATGATGACGCGACAGCCTTGCCTTTATCAACCATACGACCCTTAGTATTAGAAGTCTCATTTTGGGTTTTAGAAGTTGCCCCAAAATTTATCTTCGGACTTCCTTCTTTCGCCTTGCTCGATGGGTAAAGGTTCGACGAAAAACTTCATTGAGAGGATCCCTTCGTCCTTAGTTGTCTTTCCATTTTCATGGCTGTATGCACCATATCCTCGAGTTCTATGTGGTGCTGCAACTCCACAATGTTCGCAATGTCCCGATTCAGCCCACTCAAGAATCTCGCCATAGTGGCCTCCCGATCTTCATCAACATTCGCTCTTATCATAGCGATCTCCATCTCTTTGAAATATTCATCCACCGTTTTCGTTCCTTGTGACATAGTTTGGAGTTTTCGATACAAGTCACGAAAATAATGTAAAGGGACGAATCTTTTACTCATGATGGACTTCATTTCGGCCCAAGTAGAGATAGGCCTCTCACCATATCGCCTTCGGTTATGGTTAATTGATCCCACCAAACAATAGCATAGTCAGTGAACTCAATCGCAGCAAGCTTCACTTTCTTCTCCTCGGAGTAGTTATGACACTCAAAAATGAGATTCGTCTTCTTTTCCCACTCCAAATATGCCTCCGAATCACTTCTTCCTTTGAATGTGGGACTATTCAGTTTTATGCTTCCCAAGTCATGATCTACTTCATTATCTCGCCTTCTCCTTCCTCCTCTATTGCCACGGTGTGGAGGCTCATGAAACTCCTCCTCGTCAGAATCAGGTTGATAGAATTGATTATTATCGTGTCTTCTATGATCTTGTTGTTTCAACCTCTCCAAACGTTCGGTAATGCCTTCGAGAACACCTCCAAGCCTTGCAAAATGTTACTGCATAGCTTGAATGGTAAATTCATTTCCCGCATTGGTTGAATTATCCTCCATTATTCAAATCTCACAAGTCACTCGTGTATCACTCAATATAGCCCTCACAACACTCGTGTTTCACTCGTAGGCTTTTACCTCCCCTCTAATGAGCTCACACACTCTTGCCTTTTACCACTCCGAATTCTCTTTCGTAGGTTCAACCAAAACAGACATATCAAGATCAATTTCGTTGAACAATATAAGGACTGTTTTTTTTTTTTTTTTGTACAAACTTTTTTTTTTAACTAACAGATTTTTCTCTTTTTTTTTTTTTGCAATTCTTGTATAAAAATACAAGGAACTTTTTTTTTTCGATACAAGATAGATAAAAGAAGATAGAAATCAGATCAATACCAGATCGCTCTGATACCAAACTGATACGGATAGGACGTGAGACCCGTAGGATATATTGATCCAAGAACCAAACGTATAAAATAGGCAGCGGAATCCCAGATCGGAGATCTAGTTTGATCGTACCTAGAGCTTAAAAACCTCGACCCGTTAGCTATATATTCAGCTAAGAACCTCGGTATGGTGAACGCCACAAGATCTTGCTCAAGTATCTTGATAAGTTCTTAAAAACAATTGAAACTCTACATAAGAGAATTCAATCTCACAATAGTGATTTCTTAATATTCAACAAAATTCATATATTATCTTAAAACATAAAATGACCTTTTTAAAGGCTACAAAAGGGCTGATGAGTTAATCCCGTTTTTGGGACTCGAGACAAAATAAAGACACAACTTTGACCTCCTAAATAAGCTAACATGAAGTTTGAATGACCCTTTGACTTCTAAGACAACTTAAGAGACATTTTGGTCTCACGAATGCTAAAAATAGATAAAATAATAGACTCTCCAATTGGTCTTCATGACATGGATGAAATTTAGTCTTCAATCCATTGATCAATCTTTATGAGAACAATCTGGCCCATCAACTTGAAGAATATTCATCAATTTGCCTTCCATCGGGATTTGGTTCGACTCCTTTTGAAATTCAGCAATAAGAACACTCAAGGCTTCCTTCATTTTCTTAGCCCTTGCCCTCGTGATCGGTCCCCCGTTTATTTCCAACGGATCTTCTTTACTTTGTACGGAGAGCTTCGCATGGTCCCCATCATTTTCCTCGACTTCTTTAAATGTATACGATTTTGCTTCGAAATGCTATGGTGCGAGAAATATATGTTATCCACATCAAATAATAATGTCATGTCGAAAACAAGCCTTTCCAGAGACGTTGATTTATTTTTCGTTTTTGCCAGTATTTACTCTTATTTTCCTCGACTTCTTTAAATGTGTACGATTTTGCTTCGAAACGCGATGGTGCGAGAAATATATGCTATTCACATTAAAGAATGGTGCCGCGTTCGAAAATAAGCCTTTCTGGAGACGTTGAATATTTTTTCATTTTTGCCCCTATTTACTCTTATTTTCCTCGACTTCTTTAAATGTATACAATTTTGTTACGAAACGCGATGGTGCGAGAAATATATGTTATTCACATCAAATAATGGTGCCGTGTTCGAAAACAAGCCTTTTCGGAGACGTTGATTATTTTTTTTTGTTTTTGCCCCTATTTACTCTTATTTTCCTCGACTTCTTTAAATGTATACGATTTTGCTACGAAACGCGGTGGTGCGAGAAATATATGTTATTCACATCAAATAATGGTGTCGTGTTCGAAAATAAGCCTTTCTGGAGACGTTGATTATTTTTTCGTTTTTGCTCCTATTTACTCGTATTTTCCTCGATTTCTTTATATGTATACGATTTTGCTTCTGGTGCGAGAAATATATGTTATTCACATCAAATAATGGTGCCATGTTCGAAAACAAGCCTTTCCAGAGACGTTGATTATTTTTTTTTGCTCCTATTTACTCTTATTTTCCTTGGCTTCTCTATATGTATACAATTTTGCTTCGAAACGCGATGGTGAGAGAAATATATGTTTTTCACATCAAATAATGGTGTCGTGTTTGAAAACAAGTCTTTCCGGAGACGTTGATTATTTTATTTTTGCCCCTATTTACTCTTATTTTCCTCGACTTCTTTAAATGTAAACAATTTTGTTACGAAACGCGATGGTGCAAGAAATATATGTTATTCACATCAAATAATGGTGTCGTGTTCGAAAACAAGCCTTTCCGGAGACGTTGATTATTTTTTTGTTTTTTTCCCCTATTTACTCTTATTTTCCTCGACTTCTTTAAATGTATATAATTTTGTTACGAAACGAGATGGTGCGAGAAATAAATGTTATTCACATCAAATAATGGTGTCGTGTTCGAAAACAAGCCTTTCTGGAGACGTTGATTATTATTTCGTTTTTGCCCCTATTTACTCTTATTTTCCTCGAGTTCTTTAAATATATCCGATTTTGCTACGAAACGCGATGGTGCGAGAAATATATGTTATTCACATCAAATCATGGTGCCGTGTTAAAAAATAAGCCTTTTTGGAGACGTTGATTATTTTTTTTTGTTTTTGCCCCTATTTACTCTTATTTTGCTCTACTTCTTTCAATGTATACAATTTTGTTACGAAACGCGATGGCGCGAGAAATATATGTTATTCACATCAAATAATGGTGCCGTATTCGAAATTAAGCCTTTCCGGAGACGTTGATTAATTTTTCGTTTTTGCCCCTATTAACTCTTATTTTCCTCGACTTCTTTAAATGTATTGTTGTTACGAAACGAGATGGTTCGAGAAATATATGTTATTCACATCAAATATTGGTGTCGTGTTCGAAAACAAGCCTTTCTGGAGACGTTGATTATTATTTTGTTTTTGCCCCTATTTACTCTTATTTTCCTCGACTTCTTTAAATGTATTTGATTTTGCTATGAAACGTGATGGTGCGGGGAATATGTGTTACTCACATCAAATCATGGTGCCGTGTTCGAAAACATGCCTTTTCGGAGACGTTGATTATTTTTTTTTTTTGTTTTTGCCCATGTTACTCTTATTTTTCTCGACTTCTTTAAATGTATACGAATTTGCTTTGAAACGCGATGGTGTGAGTAATATATGTTATCCACATCAAATAATGGTGTCATGTTCGAAAACAAGCCTTTCCGGAGACGTTGACTATTTTTTCTTTTTTTTTTCCCTTATTTACATTTATTTTCCTCGACTTCTTTAAATGTATACAATTTTGTTACGAAACGCGATAGTGCGAGAAATATATGTTATTCAATCAAATAATGGTGTCGTTTTAGAAAACAATCTTTTCTGGAGACGTTGATTATTTTTTCGTTTTTGCCCCTATTTACTCTTATTTTCCTCGACTTCTTTAAATGTATATGATTTTGCTACGAAACGCGATGGTGCGAGAAATATATGTTATTCACATCAAATAATGGTTTCGTGTTCGAAACAAGTCTTTCTGGAGACGTTGATTATTATTTCGTTTTTGCCCCTATTTACTCTTATTTTCCTCGACATCTTTAAATGTAAACAATTTTGTTACGAAACGCGATGGTGCAAGAAATATATGTTATTCACATCAAATCATGGTGCCGTGTTCGAAAACAAGCCTTTCTGGAGACGTTGATTATTATTTCGTTTTTGCCCCTATTTACTCTTATTTTCCTCGACTTCTTTAAATGTATACGATTTTGCTACGAAACGCGATGGTGCGAGAAATATATTTTATTCACATCAAATAATGGTGTCGTGCTCGAAAACAAGTCTTTCCGGAGACGTTGATTATTTTTTTTCGTTTTTACCCCTATTTACTCATATTTTTACTCGACTTCTTTAAATGTAAACATTTTTGTTACGAAACGCGATGGTGAAAGAAATATATGTTATTTACATCAAATAATTGTGCCATGTTCGAAAACAAGCCTTTCCGGAAACGATTATTTTTTCGTTTTTGCTCCTATTTACTCTTATTTTCCCCGACTTCTCTATATGTATACGATTTTGCTTCGAAACACGATGGTGCGAGAAATATATGTTTTTCACATCAAACAATGGTGCCGTGTTTGAAAACAAGTCTTTCCGGAGACGTTGATTATTATTTCGTTTTTACCCCTATTTACTCTTATTTTCCTCGACTTCTTTAAATGTATGCGATTTTGCTACGAAACGCGATGGTGCGAGAAATATATTTTATTCACATCAAATCATGGTGTCGTGTTTGAAAACAAGTCTTTTCAGAGACGTTGATTATTTTTTTGTTTTTGCCCCTATTTACTCTTATTTTCCTCGAGTTCCTTAAACGTATAAAATTTTGTTACGAAACGCGTTGGTGCGAGAAATATATGTTATTCACTTCGAATAATAGTGTCGTGTTCGAAAACAAACCTTTCTGGAGACGTTGATTATTATTTCGTTTTTGCCCCTATTTACTCTTATTTTCCTCGACTTCTTTAAATGTATACGATTTTGCTACGAAACGCGATGGTGCGAGAAATATATTTTATTCACATCAAATAATGGTGCCGTGTTCGAAAACAAGTCTTTCCGGAGACGTTGATTATTTTTTCATTTTTACCCCTATTTACTCATATTTTTACTCGACTTCTTTAAATGTAAACATTTTTGTTACGAAACGCGATGGTGCGAGAAATATATGTTATTCACATCAAATAATGGTGTCGTGTTCGAAAATAAACCTTTCCGGAGACGTTGATTATTTTTTCGTTTTTGCACCTATTGACTCTTATTTTCCTCGACTTCTTTAAATGTATACGATTTTGATACGAAACGCGATGGTGCGAGAAACATATGTTATTCACATCAAATCATGGTGCCGTGTTCGAAAATAAGCCTTTTCGGGGACGTTGATTAACTTTTTGTTTTTGCCTTTATTTACTCTTTTTTTCCTCTACTTCTTTAAATGTATACAATTTTGTTACGAAACGCGATGGCGCGAGAAATATATGTTATTCACATCAA